GGAGAAAAGGAGACTGGGAGGACCCTGGTCAGACCACTGCCCATGTGTGCCACAGCCTGACTGCTTGAGCCGGACCCCAGCAGAGCCAGGTGTGTGGGAAGCCGGAGTCCCCTCCGGGCATGTGGAGACCAGCTCTTACTTTTCCAGGAGCACAGGGGGCCGGGACATCCTGGTGATCCTCCTCCAGTACCACACCATCACGATGAAGATGCTGGGCGTGAGGAAGGTCTTCATGGCAAACCACACCTTGGTGAAGCCTCCGTTTTGGTGGATCCCCTAGACAGAGCCCAGTGGGAATGCCGGAGGTGAGCTGAGCGGAGTGTCACTTCCAGCCCCAAGTGCCCACTAGGGAGCCGTCAGGAGAGAGCTGGTCTGCTGGGCTCTGGTATTCCCAGCACACACGCCCTCACAGCCCAGCCCTCCTCACACTGCAGTACACAGATCAAAAGGCTTAGAAATGACCCTGCTCTCTGCAAGGGTCACGAGACCAGGAGGTAGAGAGGGCAGTGCGCCCGCAGCAGTGGTGCTCACGCACTGGGGTCTGGGAGAAGTGCTGGAGGCAGCCTCACCATTTCCAACAGACCTGCCTCAGATTCAGCAATGTTTAAGCTAATAATGCTTAAAGGCACAGCTTAGAAGTACAGATTTACAGGGCATCCTGGAAGCATGGTGTCCCCTCAGCTACTGCCCCACAGAACGCCACATTTGAGGTAGAACCAGAAATTTTAGGCAAAAGCAAAGAGAACCTTCTGTTTCTCCACACCCCTCTCAGCTCTTTAATCCCCCTTTGAGGTCCGTACCAGACAAATGTGGTCTACCTGGGGCTGTAGGGGTGTTTTCTCTGTGCTAAGGAAGTGATTATGACCATGAACAGAGATTTTCCCGCAAGGTTTTCATTGAAAAGTTGCAGATGGGTAAATGTATCAAGGTAAGTCTACATGATAAAACCAAAGCAATACTGGGAAGCATATTTATATTATATTCACCATTTATGTTCTGTATACCATGAAGTGAAGTAAGCTGTATGAGTCAGTTCAGTATGGTCTTGGGTTTTTTTGGGAGGGAACTCTCACGTATGTATATACACATAGAAAAAGCAGCCACGGTCACTATGGATGGTGGGCATTACAGGTAACGTTGAGCTCATCTCTATCTTCACCTACACTGTATGATTTTCTACAATAACTGCTTATCTACCCTTCTCCCAATTGAACAAAATAAAATGGAAAGAACCTAAAACACCTGTTCCCTCCACCATCTGTGCGTGCAAGGTGCAGCATGGGGGAAGGGAGAAGCACTTCGATCTCGGCACTATTCATTACACAATTATGGCCATAACATCATGATGACTATAAGTGATTTTAAGCCCGCTTAAAATCCTAAGTGGGTGCAATAATTGCATTATTTTCAATTTCTGTAATCTCTCCCACAAACAAATTCACTCTGCAATCTCAGCCGTCCTGGGTATGGAATTATTCCCATTTCTCAGGTCAGATGAGTGGGGCTCAAGCTGCCGGGAGAGAGACCGAGTTCCTTTCCGAATCACACGCCCAGAGCCAGCCTGCCTGGCCTAAGTCCCAGCATCACAGCCAGCTGGATCAGTTTCCTGCACTCACCACGAACCGAATGTCCTTGATTTCCCCAATGCCCACGTTGATTTTTTTCTTCTCATTCACGGGCAGCCGGATGTTTAAAAGGTAAAACTTATGAGCCACAGACCCGATTTCCATGAAAGGAAGGACATCACAGTCATAGTATCGGCCCTCATGCTCGGGAGTCTGGAAAAAGAACACAAGGTTTGAGGCAGGATCACTATTTCCAACAGACTGTCTGCACTCATTTCCCTGGACTCATAGCACCGATTTTTAAAATCTAACATTCATGTCTGACTTACTAAGATTTAAGAGGGTACAGATGATGTTCCATTGCTTGCGTTTGCGAGGTAAAATCCAAGTTGCAATTGTGCCCCCACTCAGGGGTGTGCTGTGTACCCTACATTGTGCCTGGTAAGGGCTCACACATCCCCCCACTTGAGTTTAATTGTTTTTCTCTCCTGTGGGTGTGTGGTCCTTTATCTATTGGTTTCACATTAGTATTGAGTACACCGGATATTTGGAAAAGCTAGTTTAAAGCTAGAATTAAAGATACACCTTAGAGGTACAGATCACCCCAGCCCTAAAAAAAAAAAAAGAAAAGAAAAGAAAAAAAAATCAGCCACAATCAAGGTAGAACCGGAGAATTTTTGTCTTAACTTCTCGGATCTGTAACATTCTTCAGAGCCTCACATATGAGTCTGGTTTACAGGCCCGGGGAGATTTTATTGCAGTGTGTGTCAGAGGTCTCTAAGGCTCCGTGGAACAGTCAACTTCTCAAATGTTTGGGAAGAAGCTTCCACTGAAGTTCATTACTCTCCTTGATGAGGGCTAATTATGTTCACGGTTTGGGCCTGAAGGGGCAGCTACAAGGAACTGAAAATACCTTCTTTTTGTTGACTTGATAGGAACAGAAGTAACCCAAGGAGCCCTTGGAATTTGCAGAGGACAGACCGGGAGGAAGGGTAGGGACGAGATCGTCTGCCAGAGAAACTCACCCAGATGTCCTGCCTCCAGAGCCTCCTAACTACCATCAGGCAAGAAGGCAGAAAGAAGCAGAAATCCAAATGAAATAAAAACATAGCCCAGTTTCTGGAAAGGTTCTTGGGCTTCCTTCTAAATCATTTAAGAGGTACTGCCCAGCACACAGGGTGGGGGACTGGAGAGCAGGGCTCCTTACCGACAGTCAGAGCTTCTGGTGCAATGACCAGACTTGTACAGACGGAGAGGACGCACCTGGCAGAGGGGCAGGCCGACCCCTGGCCCGGGGCTCCCGCTCGCCTCTGCCCTTCCCCCTGGGTGGCAGATGTAGCTCATGGCCATTTTCATGAGACACCACCAGGCGACTGAGGCGGCATGCAGAGGAAACACACTCTCTGTGGAAGGAATTCTGCTTGCGTTCCAACCTCACTGCAGGGTAGACGGTGCTTCTGTGCAGACGTCTCTCTCCCATCTACTCTTTCTTAGGCTTACAAACTAGGACTGGGATTAGGGCTCTGCTGGGACCTCTGAAACAGCAGGCAGGCTTGAGTTCACCCTCAGATTAAGCTTCAGTGAGGAGGCCGGTTACCCTCTGTGGTCACAACAAGAGGACAATTTTCTAATGTGTTATAAATAAAATAATTCAGAGTCTTAATTTATATAGAGAAAGTGAGGCTCTGAATGGGAAGGGAACAAGACCACCATCTGGTGGGTAGCTTCTCAAGGTCCCAAAAGCAGAAGCAGAACTGGGACGAGGACAAGGGCCCCTGAGTCCAGTCGGACCACACTGCTTCCACCCAGGGATGAGGACGGGCAGTGTGGCAGGAGGAAAGCAGTGGCATCACCTCAGTCACGCCAAGACCCAGGCAGCTGCTGTGATGGAGAGTCAAGGCCAGCAGGCTGCAACTCTAGTCCTGACCTTGTCCCTGCTGGGTACCTGGGGACGCCCTGCCTCATGTGGCCTCAGTTTCCCCCTAAGTAAAGTGAGAATGTTAAATGGTCTCTGGGGTCACTTCCAATTTCCTGCCATGGGTTTCTGGGTGTCCCACACTTCTCTGTCTATAGAGAGGGTGACACCATCACCCATGAGGCCATTTATTTACCTAAGTTCAACAAATTTGGAGAGACCACATTGGCTTCCAGGATCCTGGCCTGGCCTAGGTCTCAGAGACAAATCCACTGTATCCTGTCAGGGGCTTTCTTTTTTTTTTTTAAACACACTGAAGTTCTGCCTCTGCCAGTATTTAGGGCATTTAAGAAGAAAGATTCCTCTTTCTCTCCCTCCTTCCCCCACTCCCCTCAGTCCTCCCCCAACTCCAGCGTGAGACTGGCTAATTAGGACAAATTACAGCAGGTGGCAACTTGACTTTTTTTTTTTTTTTTAACTTCACAATCCACCAGGGACTAAAAAGCTTTAAAGCAATTTCTCATTTAATCTTCAGACTGAAGACTAAATTCCACTGCAATCAAAAAGCACAGACTTGATGATTCATTTCCTTCACACCTTTCCAGGTTTAATATCGTTCTTGAAAGGGATCGACACATCCTAAAGATAATTAAGCAGCCGTCATTAGGAAGCAGTTGCAGGCAAACATCTCTCCCGGCCCTGCTGCTGGGCGCCCTCCGCCTGTGAGGCAGGTGTCCCCTTTTCTGAGGATGAAATTCTGTATCCAAAAGCCCTCTAGTCTGGGTGTTCAGTCTCCCCTCTCAAAGACGCAATCAACGTGAAGCAACAGCAAGAAAGGTTTTAATTAATTTCCTCCATTGCCTACAAAGATGTTGGAGTGCTACAAAGATGTTGGAGTGCTGGCTGGTCCTCTCCCAGGTCCTGCGGCTCCTCTTTGCCAGTTGTATTTGTGGCTTTGGTGGGGGCGGGAGGAGGCCCTTTCTGTGGTGCTCAGCAGAGGGTTTTAGGCAGCGGCTCTCAAACTTTAGGGTGCTTAAGGCCTGAATTGAAGGCCTGTTAAAACACAGACCCACTGGTCCTGCCCCTGAAATTGTGATTCACTAGTTTGAGGCCGTGACCTGGGAATCTGTAATTCCTGCAAGCTCTTGGGTAGTGCTGGTCCTCAGATCACACTTTCTGTAGCTCCGGTCTGGACCCTTGCAGCTCCCAGTGCTGCAGTCAGCAGGTGTTCACGGTGTAGGGTATGACGGCCACCCTTGAGCAGGTGTTCAGGTGTAGGGTGTGACGGCCATCCTCGAGCAGGTGTTCAGGGTATAGAGTGTGACGGCCACCCTCGAGCAGGTGTTCAGG